TGAATTTGGAATGCAGGAATAATCTTTCTGTGCAGACAGAGAAGTTGAAATGATTGGACACGGTTCCATGAAAAATGTTGTGGAGCAAGAAAATGGATAGGTAAACTATAACAAGATTAATAAAAAGAAAAGCAAAACCCCTCAAACCTAAATAAATTAAAGAAAGTCCTCTGTGGGGATCTGTGTGCCACAGGTAGATGTCTTGGTCCCTAACACTTTGAGAACAGCTGCCAGCAGCTTTCAGTCATTGCACTAATATTTCTAAGGTGGGAACAGTATTGTGCAGCAGAGAAAGCCAAAGGCCTGTGACTTCTCAGCCTCTAATGACTTTCTCTGTGAGGTTTGTTTTACTTTAGACTTACTGTGTGACCTACTGGCATGTATGCTAGTTATCTGGATTGTTTGACCAGTACATTCTGGTGTATACTGGATTTCTTGCCTGTTCAGTGAATTTTACACCAGTAGCCTGGCTGATCTAAAGGAGATGACTTTGTACAGTTAGGAAAAAAAATCTGTTTTCTTCCATCTATATAATATATCTGAACAAAAGAAACAAAAGAGCATTTATCTGCTGCTGCAGTAATCTTGTTATGCCTTAGTATAGCCTTACATAGACACTAAAACTGAACACTAGTGGTTGTAGTGTTTTAGGCTAAGTATGATTAAAGAGGAAATTATAATAAAGTGGACATTGATCTTTAAAAGTGATCAAATTCATGGTTTGATCCTGGATTTACATGAAACACAGTTTACTAAAAAGTTCTGTATTCTGCCAGATATCCTTGGCTAATGTCTACCTAAAGGTAGCTAAAGACCTCAGCATAACTCTTCAGAACACTGCAGCTGTACGTTACTATTACAACAGAGGGTTCCTGTAGCCGTGTTCACTGTAGACATTACATACTGGCATTCCTTATGTATGTCTGTATGTGAAGCTGAAACAAATCCTAACAGCTTGTGTATGTTCTTTAGTTTTATAGAAAATAGAGGTCATTTGAGTGACCTTCTCTACGTCACAGGTTATTAAGTTTCAGATAGATGACCCTCTGTGTTTTGCTCAGAGACCTGAAGTAAACTAAGTTTTCGGTCTTGTGAAAACAAAATGGTTTATTTGCTTCAGGCAGAACATCTAAGAGATTGAGAAGCTGCCAGTGCCCAAGGCCCTCACAGTGGCAAGAGCTGATTGGCTTGGAACTGTGTCCAAGGGATCACAGTCGGGGAGACAGGGCTCTGGTGAAGAGGAAGGTGGAGGAAACCCCCTAAGGCTGTTGCCAGTTTGACCTAAGGGAAGCGGGCTCCATGCCTGGAGCATGGTGACCCCCTGACCCCTGCTCTTACAGAAGGAAGCATTAGCCATGTATCTGAGAGCCCAGCCTGTTCTCGTGCTGGTTGTTTCAACCTAAGAGAGCAATCCCCAAATCTTGCCCACATCCATTCAGCTGTGCCCCAAGCATGGTGAGGCTCAGTGGAAGTAGTGCCTTTGGCCACCTAAAAATGACTCACAGAAACTCTGAAGCAGGAGATTTGATTATGAATTGTTGATTGAATGTGGAGCAGCACTCTGAGGGTAATATTTGCACTTAGATTATAATAACCAGTTTATATGATGCAGTTGAGGTGCGTTTTCCTGTGGGATTTAAAACTTTCTGAGCTTCATAATGGCCATAATGTAGAACTCAAGCACTGTGCAAATAAAATAAAATAAAAAAAAACAGCTAATGGTGTGTGTCTGAGAAATAAAGCACACGTGTATTTTACATTCATATCATCTGAGAAGAATGGGTTGCTTTTGTAGAGTGCAATGTAAAAGGAAAAATCAATATTTAGAGCATATTTGTTTGGATGGCATCGTATGTCCATGAAGTCATGGAGTCACGGTTCAGCTGTGTTTGTTTCAGCATGCAGGATTCCAGACCTCATGTGTGACATATTGACAGTTGTATGTCAAGATGTCTAGCAGCTGTAGACATTTAGGCGTGCTGTGCTTGTAGCAGACAAGATCTACATGGGAGGTGAATGTGGAGGGTCTGAGGGCTGCACGTCCTGCTGGGACAAGGGGAAACGAGGCACTGTTGCAAAGTCTGGGGTTTCACGGAGTTTCACCACACTTGATGTCTGCCTCAACTCTCCAGCTGCTGAAATCCAGTCTCTATCATGAGATGCCAGATTTTGTTCAGGAAGTAAATCATCTAGCCTTTGTAGTTCTGGAGAAAATTGAAAACATGAATCTTAATGGAATGCTCACATTATGTTTTGTTTCCAGTTTATAAACCAGTCTCAGATTGGCTGTGTTTAGATATAGTGTGGGTGTTGCACAATGAATAAGTTTTGTTTGCTTTGGTTTGGTGGTGGTAAGCTCTTCATGTTGCCCCACCTTTCTCTCCACACACGTTTAATATATGTATTGGTAGTAGGCAGCAGTCTGGTCAAGGATGTTGTAACCTGCTTGTAGGATGATTGGGAAAGTGAAGAAAGGAATGACACACTTGTCTGCTCATGCTGTATCGTTCCCTCTGAGAGAGAATGTTTTTGTGTGTGTGTCAAGTAAAATGCATCATTCCTGAATTCTTGTAAACTGTTTCATACTCAAGATTATTTTTTTCTCCAGTAATTGTGTCAAAGTTCCTGACCTTCATTGCAGATTATGTACATGTCAACTTTCTGAAACAAAACAGTTCTAAGTTACTGAAATGCCAAGAAGTGTCAGAACCAGTTTAACTTGTGATAAATACCATGTTTCTATTCTTGCTTAACCAAGTTTCTTTAGCCCTTCTGAAAAAAACCCAGAGTTTTATAGGCTGAGAAACACAAAAAGAATTCCACTGAGAAATGTTATTGTGTGTGAAGGGCAGTAATATGAGGTCTTTGCTAATTGAAAGCACTGATATTATTAATGATGAAAATAGCAAACAGCATTGGAGCAGTTACAGCAACAATACAGGCCTGTTCCTGTCTGGCTTCTCAGGTGAGTTTCTAAAATGGGTATTTTGAGTATATTTCAGTCTCTGCATAATTTAAAATTATTCAAGGTTGAAGATGTGTTCATTTCAATATATATTCTTTTTGTAGAGGAAGACTTGGTTAATTTGATTTTTAATGGCTTTAACCTTTGTGACAGTTGTAGGATGTTCCTCCACAAATTCCAGGGAGGCTCTGTGCAGTTTAGTGAGATAACAAAATGTAAATCTTGATCATAGCAGTTCCCAGCTGAGGATTGTGAGCTGTTGCACTTCTCCAGGCTCTGCAAGTCACCTGGCTTTTACCTTCTGCATGACTGTCCCTTGGCTTTCCATAACGTTTTGCCCAGGCCCTCTGACTGAGACTGCAGAACAGGAACTTGGGCTCTGAAAACTGTGTTTCCACTCACTGCTTCTCTTTTGAAAGCTGGAGGAAAGACCCACCTGAAGAATGACAACACCATCCTGAAGAATGGGTTGTTAAAAAACAAGTGAAAGTAAACTATATGTAGGAGTCACATTGCCCCCAATTAAGAAAGCCTGGGCCTGAGCTTCCCAGATTTATAGAAAAGAGAAAATGTTACACAGCTCAAAAGTAAGTATTCTCCCACTCACACCGTGTGCTGTTGTCTGCCTCACAGCTCTGACCTGAGAGGACATTCCTTCCTCAGGTGGTGGTCCCAGTTCACTGAATCTATACTATTTCAAAAGCTGTGCCACTGTGTGGCCCACTAACAATGCTCTTTCCTGAGCTTCTTCCAGAGCTTTGGGAATCGTACCCACTGTGTATGGTTAGGGAGAGCGTGATGACTACACTGGAAAAAAATAAATGAATTTTCGTCTGGGTAGTGCAATGAAAAATGATCCTCTGTGAGTGGTAGTTTGTTCAGAGATGATAACACCACCTTCTTTTGTTTGCAGGTGTGGCTTGATCTTTTGAAGCCTGTTATGAAACAGATTAGGAGTAAGTACTTCCTTGCTGTCATAGTTTTTGTCAGTCTGAGAGTACTTGAATAAATTAAGAGTCTGTCAATTGGGATCTTTCATCTTAACTTTCTTCACTGAAGTTTTGTTCAGATAATTTTTTATTTCTGGTCTGTCCTTAAAAGATGTACCGTGTATGCTGTGAGATTGTGTCACGTGAACGTATGAAGGGCTGACCCAGTAGGAGGTTTAGTCAGTCACTAGAAGAGGCAGTGGTGGCAACAGAGGGAATAAGTTTGCAGAGAAAAAAAGAGTGCAGTAGAAGGATTAAAGGAAGCAAACATTGCTGACAGGTAGCAGTAACCAGGATAAAAGAAAAACAAGATGTTATTACTAGGAAGGAGCTAGCAAATGTATTAAAACTGTGTGGGACATCGCTGCAGAACTTGGAACTGTCTGAGACCAAGAGGAGGAAAGAGCTAGGGTAGAACCATCAGGGAAAGTTATGGTGGGTGGTCAGAAAGGACCTGAAATGCTCTGGGAAGAGTAGAAGTGAACAGGAAAGGTTTTCGTGATTTTGTTTCTCTGCCACATACCAGCAAATTTCTTGATTTTTTGAGCTTTGCCATTGGGATTAAGTTTTCCTAGTTGCCTCTCTGGTCATGTTAGTCTGAGTGGATGCTCTGGCACCTCTCCTTCTCACGAAAGAGAGTTGCATTTGTCCTTTTGTCACGGGCTGTACATGTAAGAGTCAGAACAAATGTGCTGCTGTAGAACAGAAATACTAATTTGCTACTGGACTTGGTAGTGTATTTTAGCTCCATTCTGTTCTGAAGCAAGGAAGGTAGTCACACATAATATATTTATTGGATCAACTGACATAATTACTAAAAGCAGACTCTGTTTTGGCAGAGTATCCCTTGACCAAGTTACTGTTCTCTTATTGTGTGTAAATTTGATTGTGCAATCTCTAAATAAACTGAATACTAATAAAGCACAGGAGGTTAGTATGCATGTATGCACTACAGACTCCCTGAATCACCCCATGTACATCTTTCTGCATAATAAAATTTGGCCACCATGTGATGTTCACTAACGTGCTTTGACATTTTCTGTAGGACCGAAGCATGTTGTTGTAAAATTTGTGGTAAAATTCTTCCCACCTGACCATGCTCAGCTGCAGGAGGAACTGACAAGGTTGGTAGCTGCATTACTGTTGTTTGTTTGTTTGTTTGTTTGTTTAATTAAATCTCTGGTGGACAGAAGGGAGAACATGGAATTTGTGATGACTGACTGAGGATCGATGTCAGCCTCTTAGTATTAGCTTCATGTTATTTACCCCAACCTTGAATGCACATGAAAAATAGGCCCTAAGATTCAGTTGCAAGTCTGTGCTGAGACAGTCTGCAAAATTCGTGACTTCTTTGCCTCTTTGGATTTGGGGTCCTGGGAGAGCTTTGCTCACCACAAGAGAAGGCAGGTCCACAACAGTTCTCCAAGCCTCTTTGGCAGTCATGTTGAAAGGAACCTGACTAAGGCACGTTGGTGCCCTGGGACATTCCTCTGCTAAGGGACATGTGTGACTCTGCCCCCCTGGGGTGCTCCTCTACTAAAGGACATGTGAGACTGTGCCTGCTTTTGGGAGAGAGTTGTTTTGCATGAGTTGCCCAGTTGCAGCAGTATTGGATTCTTTGTATAGAATGCCAAAGGTTTGCACAGGTGGAAGTGTGACTCTGGAGATGGAGAAATGGGAAGGAGTGGAGAAGTGGAGAAATGGAAATAAAAAGTAAGAGGAAGCTAGAGAAAGAGACGTACCTGCACAAAGAGTACCTTAAAGGTGTGTTTATTTTCAGTGCATTTCAAAAACTTCATTTAAGCTCTGAATTTCACACTACAGTGACAGAAAGAGTCATTTCTCTGAGTAAATATGTATATGAGTGACCTATTAAAGTTCTTCCTCATTAACAGGTCCTTCCATTATAGTCAAAACATTGTTTTGTTGCAGTATTTCTTCACTGCAACTTTCCAACTCTTTTTGTGATCTTCAATATTATTATTATTTGATTTTTTTTGTTCATTCTGATTTGATATTTTCACTATTAGTTTGTATTTTCAATATACCTGCAAGATGAAGTCCTTTTTTATAAAGAGCTCTTGTATCCTTCTGACCTGCTTTATAAAGAACAGGTCCACGCTTGTGTTGCTCTGTGTTTATCTCTGTCTTGTCTTGTTTTGATAATAGAGTAATGGAAGGGAAGAAAAAGAAATTATTAATATCTCTTTCTGGCCTGAACAGAGAAAAGTGGAGAAGTGGGGTAGGAAGGAGGAAGATTTGCTTGAAAGACTGAGTATAAACAATAAAGGGAAGAATGAAAACTCACAACTTGATGTTACTATGAAACATTTCTGTTTCCAAATATCAGTTCCTTAGTATGCAAGATGTACACTGATTTTTGATAATCTCTTTCTGCACCTGGAGACGTGTCTCTGAATCCTGATGACTTTTTTGGTTAGATTTCAAAGATGTATGCTGAGGAACTTGAATATATGTACACAGCAGCATGCAGGATGTGAAAGCATATCCACAGGGAACAGCTTCATCGCGTGGAGAAGCAGAGAATACAAAACTTCTGTGCTATATTCTTCTACTAATGTGAATTTTGTACGGATAGGCAGATGTCTGCATGTTTCAAAGGGGCATGGTTTAGATTTGCTCTATTATTCCATGTTCTGTATATGTTTCCATACTCCTCAAATCAGCTTGTCCCTTTAATTTAATTTACCTACATCTCCTCATTCAGAAACTCACTGTTTGAGTGAGAGCTTTTCACTGAACCTATTAAAATCTAGTCTTACAAAAAACTGTAGAGATCCTGTATGAATTCTCCAGAGGATCTGCAGTCTTTGGAAGATTTGTTAAGGTGTCTAACCAGTGCAGATTTCATACCAACTGTTCAGAAATACTCACTGCTGGCTCCTTTTCTTCTAGAAAGAAGAAGAATTTGATGCTGAGTGGAACTAAACAATTTCAGTTCCTTTTGAAGCTAGAAGAAATTTAAATGTTGAAATAATGTCATAGAATCATATAAAGCTTTGGGTCGTAAGGGACCTTTAAAGATCATCCTGTCCACACCCCCTGCAGTGAACAAGGACATCTGCAACTAGATCAGGTTGCTCACAGCCCCGTCCAACCTGACCTTGAAAGTTTCCAAGGATAGGGCTTCTACCACCTCTCTGGGCAACCAGTGTTTTACCACCTGCACAGTAAAGAATTTCTTCCTTATATCTAGTCTCTTGTATCTAACCTCTTCTAGTTTAAAACCATCACCCCTCGTCCTATCACAACAGACCCTGCTAAGAAGTCTTTCTTCATCTTTCTTATAGGCCCCCTTTAAGTAATGAAAGGCCACAGTAACATCTCCACAGAGACTTCTCTTCTCTGGGCTGAACCTCAACTCTCTCAGCCTTTCTTCACAGGAGAGGTGCCTCAGCCCTCAGATGATTTTTGTGGCCCTCCTCTAGACTCGCTCCAACAGGTCTGTGTCTTCTTGTGCTGAGGGCTCCAGAGCTGGGTGCAGTGCTCCAGGTGAGGTCTTGCCAAACCAGAGCAGAGCAGCAGAATCACCTTCCTTGACCTGATGGTCACACTTCTTTTGATGCAGCCCAGGATACGACTGGCTTCCTGAGCTGCAAGGGCACCTTGTCATCTTACATCCAATTATTCCATCCACCAGTATCACTGAGTCTTGATTGTCGGGGCTGCTCTCAATCTATTCATCCCCAGTCTGTACTGATATCGGTGGCTGCTCTGTTCCAGATACAGGATCTTACACTTGGCCTTGTTGATCCTCATGAGGTTCACATGGACCCACTTACCAAGCTTGGCCGGGTCCCTCTGTGTGGTGTCCAGTCCCCCTGGACCATGTGGTGCATGTCAACCACACCACACAGCTTGGTGCCCTCTGCAGACTTGCAGAGGGTGCACTCAATCCCACTGTCCCTGTCATTGATGAAGATACTAAACAGCACTGGTCCCAGTATGGACCCCTGCGGGGATCATGTACTCTCATGTTGTCATGGACCTATGTTGTCTCTGCACCTTAAACTGCTATGTAGAATTGCCCTACATGGCTCAAATGGTTTGGAAGTGGTGTTTAAAAATGGTTGGTGCATAGACAGTGCAGGTAATGTGGCCACGGAAGTATCAGAGCTAGCTAGAGTTGTTTGATCAAGATCTTGCTCCTTGTTTCCAGGTGAGTGCCAAGGTGGAAGTTTAGAGTTCTGCTTGTATTCTACGAGAATTCACTGATAACTCTAAATCACTGGTTTATCTGGAATTTCTTTGTAGTTACAAGCAGCTCCATTATCTCATGCTGCTTGCTGTGCGGTTGCTGAGCACTTAATAGCTGTTGCATTTGCTTCCTACTGTCATATCTCATTGCTCTGGCTCCAGGGGAGGGAAGGAGAGGGAAAAAGAGAGATATCTTGGTTCTGCAAAGCAGCCACCATGTAAGACTGTAATGGCTGTAATACAGATCCATTATGTTTTAGTTAACCTCTAAACTTAGGAAATTCAGATCACTTCTGTAGATTCCAAAAAGTGAAAGGAACACGCAGTCAAAACCAGAGTTGGTACTGAAATACTTTCCCCTCAAGCTTTGTGTAACTCTTTGTTCGCTTTTGTTTTGCAGGTACCTATTTGCATTGCAAGTAAAGCAGGACCTGGCACAGGGAAGGCTAACATGCAATGATACCAGCACTGCCCTCTTAATCTCACACATAGTACAGTGTAAGTTCCCTTTTTTCTTCTTTCCAGGAGGATGAACAGGATGATTGGTTGGGTAGGCTTGGCTGGGTCACCTCTTAGTAGCTGCTGTAGGAACAGGTTTAAGACCTATGGACAATTTATTGTATTTCTGTATAATGGCATTCAAATGTAGGTCATCTACTCTTTCAAATAAAGAACAGCTTCTGGACACTGGGTTTGCATTTTTAAAGCACTGCATTTGATAGTCTTCCTAAGATAATTTAAAAAGCAAACTTTGCAGATAGTGGCAAACAAGCTTAATTTTCCTGAATTCCTATTTTATTCTACTTTGTATCATGTCAGCAGAGCATTCAGATTCCAGGAGATCTGTATGCTGTGTAAAGAATGTAGTAGATAAACATGCTTAGAATACCAGACTAAATCACAGTCCTAAGAGGAAAATGATAGGGAAGGGAAAAAAAATAAAAAAGATATATATGAAGCTTTTTTTTTTCTTTAATTGCAAAGTATGCACAATAAGACTGTTCAGTAGAAGCACAGGTTAACTTTGTTCCTCACATCAAAGCTTCTCTTAGCTTCCAGATCACTTGAAAGACAGTGTCTGTTTCCCATTTCAAGACTTTATGGATACTCATCTTGAGAATAACATTAGGAAAAAACACTTAGTGGCATATATAGTGGTCATAATAGACCATTGTTTGGAATGGTCATTGTACAATTTAGTGTTGCATATTTCCACTGAAATGCTGTTGTATGGAAATTGCAGTCAACAAAGATGTTCAAATGGTCTTTTGTGATGAACAGATAAATCTCATGATTCTTTGTCATAGTCTCAGTGTTAGGCCAGTTTCTCATTGACTGCTGTTGGAAAGGCAGGTATTGCATGGGTTTCCATTTGCCACAGTCATCATTGCCCAGTGTGACTGAATAACAGTAAGAGCCTGTATGTACAACAGCCTCTGTGCAATTCTCTATTTCTCATACCATTTTAAAACTTGGCTAGTGTTTTTTTTGTGTCTTTTAATTTTTCCTAGTATGTTGTTCAGCATGTCAGCTGTAGCTCTTCCCACAGTTAAGCTAGTTCTAACTTCCTTTCCTCTCAGGGAAAAAAAAGTCATGATTGTTTGGGGGAAATAGAGTATTATTTGTTACACTGCATTTTACAAGGGTGAGTTTTCCTACTAAATATCTGTGCACAAAGAAACCCATTGAGGAGAGGACACTCTAATGTGTGTGTCTCTCTTCATTTGAGGCATTGCTTCGTGATCATCCTCTCTTGAGCTCTTACACTTTATATGCATTATTTTCCTTATGATTTCTACTTAGATCCTATTTCATGTCTTACTCAGCTCTTATTGATTACTTACTTAAGTTCTTCACTAAGCCATCAACAGCTCTGGTGTTTGAACTGCTCAGAGGGCAACTGCTAGCTTGCTGTCTTAAAGCACCAGCATAAGAAGATAAAATACAGGATGGCCTTTCACCTTTACAAGCTGTCCATTTCTCTCTTCCTTCTCCTCACAGTCAAACTCAAATTTAACTCAGTATTTTTTCAGAATTTCTCCATGATACACTGGCCCGTTCTCTGTGACACACCTATGCCTATGCAGGCTGGCAAGAAGCATTAATTTCAAAATGTGCAAAAATGGCAGTCACCACCATTGTTCTTACGGTGATGAGATGCATTATACTGTTGGATTCAATTCTTTTCCTCAGTTGCTGAATGTGATCATGGTACATTTGAAATCTTTCAAGTTCTTTATCCCCTTCCCCTTGAGGTGAGCTTGAGGTGCAGAGTGATTCAGAACTGTGATTTTAGGAATCAAGTAGTACTCTCCTTATGGGGAGAGTAAAGCAAGGTACTTCCCTACTGAGAGATGGAGGTTTTCCTTGGTGTCAGAGGGAGAGAAGTGAGAGGCTCATCGTGCAGCACTGAGACAGTATTCACAGAATCTGTGCCACCATTTTGAGCAGAGGGATGTTGTGCCTCATGGTTCACCTGCAGAGCTGCTTCCCCCTGCTATCCCCTCACTGCAAGCTGGACCTTTTCTTTTTTTGCTGTTTCTGATTTTTCCCCTCTCCCTTTTTTGTGTAATAGTGCTTGCTAGAAACCTCTGTTAAAAGTTCACAACTGTCTCATGTGTTTATCCATCTTGAAGTCATGGACATCTTGTCTCGTGAAAATTTTTCTGTGAAAGTTTTCTCTGGTGAGAGTCTATAGCTGCATCTTACCCAGATGGCTATCTTCTGTATTTATTTTCTCTCTAGCTTATTATTCAGTAGCAAAAAAAAAAAAAAAAGAATTTATTTGTCTGCAACAAAAATAAAACTAGACAGCTGATAACTAGATGGCTGATAAGAGTAATGACAACAAAGTGGAAAGATTATGAATGCAGGAGGTTAGGTATTGTATGTCTTATCAATGCTGTGTCTATGAGCAGTTTCTATGGGGGACAGCCGATTCCAGGAGGCCCTTGTACACAAGCTTATGTCAGTGTTATAGGCTGTTATTATATGAAATCATAATATGACAGCAAATAGGTTTCTGCTAAATTAGCATGTATGTTACAGAATGAAATTTATGTTGAAAAATTCTAATTAAAAATACCTTAAAAGCATTGCAGAAGGTGTTAGAAGTGAGGGGACACTTTGATACTGCAAATGATACAGTAAAGTGAGTGTATGAAGTAAGAAGATGGACTGATTAAAGGAAAAGAGCTGAAATACAAAGCATAAGATATATCAGAAGTGGTAATGTAGGTAGAATACTGCATAGTGTGATGCACTTGCAAGATATGAGGGAAGTGAGTAATAGTAGAAATCAGTCTGGCTAAAACTCGTGAGATTTTAAGGAAGACTTGTATGTGAGGCTGATAATATTCAAAATATAACTCGCTCTAATTCTAGAGGCAGTGCTACTAGAAAGGCATTTAAGGTGGAAAAGGATGGCTAAGGAGAGAAGTAAAAGCTGTTGAGTGGAAAGTCAGAGAGAGCAAATTCACAAGTAGCTTGAAAGCCAAGAGGACAATTTTGATAATGGATTTGCAGTTGATAAATGCAGAGAACATTATAGAAATCACGTAAAGATGAAGTAAGAATCTGCTGTACTCCTGGCTCTGAAGAAAGCCCTGCAGATGGTGGTTTAAGTCCATCTGTGTAATAAGGACATACAGGTTATGAACTGCATTTTAAGGGATCAAGGCCCGTGTTATTTGAGGTGTTGCAAAGCTAGGTGGGCTGATGGCTTCATTAAAGAAGAGAAACTTACCTTTCAGTTGAGTTAGGATTAAAAATGGACCCTAAAGATTTGTGGTGCTGGAGCGAGTAGAGCTGGAGTGAGTCAGCTGTTTCTGAGATGGGGGCAGAGGGGCATTTTGCAAAGGAGAATTCTCAAAGATTCTGTATCAATTTCTACTGTCTCAAGGAATGGTTCAGAGCAGAGGGGTCGCAGGAGAGGTTGGAAATCAGACGGTCTCAGTTATCAACTCTATTCCACCTCTGACCTCCAATATATAAGAAGTCATTGTGTAGCTGCAGGCAATTTGGACTGAAAGGTTACTGCTCTGTCAGAGTTGCTTTGGTCTTCACCTTCCCTTCCCACACAGGGTTATTGCTCTCCCTCCCCATTTGCAGGTACCTCTGATCCCAGACAAACTTCTGTCAGAAATCACCTGCAGTGGTTTAAACCATCTGAAACCTTTCTTTTTTTTTCTAAAGGGTCTTATTTTGGGCAGAACTAGATTTACATGGGCAGAAGTGAGGTGAGGGTGAAGCAAGGATCTGAGCTTGGGTCTGTGGTATCCTAGGCCAACTGTACAGCAGCATGTCTGACTGCAACCTGGATTTAGTTTGAGAGTGCTGCATTTTAATTTCACTGACATGATTAAGGTAGCAGCCCTTTGTTGTAGCTATGTATGTAGCTATGTTCCAGCAGGTTAGCAGGCAGAAGCTGTTCAGTGAAAGAGCTCATAGTAAGATTTTCAGAGGCATTCTGAGAATAGCAAGCAACAAGATAGTAATCTGGTGCACACACACACAGATTGCCTGCTCCCCACCTCCTGACCCCCCACCAAAAAAAGGAAATCTCACTGAATGGGCTGCAAAATGGAAGGTGGGTGTGACATACTGTTGTACACACAGTATTGAATAAGTGCAGCAGATGGGAGCAACTCTGCGGAGGAGGGAGACAGAATGTGTCTCAAACTGCTGCAAAATTAGAGGAAGACAAATGTTTGCTGTTTCATAACGGTGAAATACGTGCCTGCATTCAAACAAAGGAACAAAACCACCTTTCACATTTTCCTCCAGAGATTACAGTGTGCACGGGCCTGGGAAAGAAGTCTGTGCTTGGCTGCTCCACAGAAAGATACCTGAGCACCATGATGCACATGAGGGAGATGGATGAGTTCTGCTGAATTAGTGCTCTCTTCCCTGTCACCCGTGCCCTTGTGCTGCACACAAGTCAAGGCAGCACTCTGGTGACTTCATTTGTTCACTTGACATTCAACAGCTACTCAGTTGGTTGTGGTGAATGGGAGGAATCCTTGGTCGTCTTCTCACATAGCAGATACTAACAGAGGAGAAAGGAGGAGTGTGTGGAAGAGAACATTGTGGGAATTTGAATCATAAAATGGGGACACAGCTTACAAGAAACTGTGTCTGCTTGTCTGCCTTCTTCCCAGCTTCTGCACCTTTTGGATTGCCCAAATAATGGAGATTTAATATAGTATTTTAATAGACTTTTCTTAAAATTTTCCATAGCTGAGATTGGGGATTTTGATGAAACCATAGATCGTGAACACTTAGCGAAGAACAAATATATACCTCAGCAAGAAGCACTAGAAGACAAAATCATGGAATTTCACCGTAACCACATGTAAGACCTTTTTTGTTCCTGTTATTTGCCTTCTTTTCCTTTAGTACAGTTCTAAGTGTAAATATATCCTAGATCATAAGTACAGAAGAGATTTGGACCTCTGAGTTTCTCAAAGGTTACTTCTCAAAAAATGTTCAAGCCTATGAATTTCTTGAAGGTTACTCCTGCCTTTCTCCTGTATTCATAACAAGATGTTTAAAGAGCAATTGATTCTGATACTCATTCAAGCATGCCATTATTTTACAGTCTATTTCATACAAAATGCTTCTCTGCTGATTTTGTGCATGCAGGTATGATTGCCAATGATGACTGATTAGTCAGGCACTTCTGACAGCAGCCTTTTTGGTTTCAAGGACATTGAATGCTGCCTTTTCACCTTTCCATGCTGTATTTAGAGATGGGGGAAGAAGAGGTTTAATGATAGTTTTAGGAAGAGCAGAAAGTGTTTACAGAATTAGGGGAATAGGATTCAAGACGGTGATGCAAATTGGTATCCTAAGGCCTGGAGAAAAGATTAGTAGTAAGAAGATGGTTAAAAGAATTACAAATAAGGCATAGAAAGTGTGTTAGTTTTTTTTACTGTCAAGAACACTTCAAGACTTGAACAGTTTCATTCTGAGGCACATCGAATTAGATGTGAGTGGTAAGGAGTTCTATAAAAGTAATAAGCAAGACTTTTGCTAATTTTGTCATGATAAATTTAGTGCTTATAAGTTCCCAACATTTATGTTAAGGCTTTCATGTCTTCTGTTTTACTTCATTTTGGTATTCCATTCATTTTTACAATGAAAAACATCCTAACATACTTATGATTTTTTATTTTTTTATGAATACAGTATGTCTTTCCAATGGAAAATACACAGAGAGGTAGTGATTCTGTTAAAGTTGATAGTTCAAAACCTAGCTGTATCAGGTGTCTCACAATCTGAGTAATGAAAATTTCTGACAGACTGTAAAAACTGTGGATTCTTTGCTAATGTTTTAGACTAAGATAAAGTTGTTTTTCTAGCTGGTGTAAATCTAGGGACATAAAAAACCCTACAGATGTTATAGCTCTTACAGGTTTCAGTCTCTTTGATGAAATGTCTCTTTGTACTCTGGAGGACCTGTTGATCTCTATTAAAAGGTGTGAAGAATTCATGTGTCTTCTCTGTTTTCTTCCTCAAGGGGACAGACACCAGCAGAGTCTGACTTCCAGCTTCTGGAGATTGCCCGTCGGCTGGAGATGTACGGGATCCGCTTGCATCCAGCCAAGGACAGGGAAGGGACAAAAATCAACCTGGCTGTTGCCAACACAGGCATCCTAGTGTTTCAGGTTAGAGCTTCTCAGGACATCACTTGGTACATGATAAACCGGAGAGATTTCATAACAGTGATTAGAATTCAGGTCCTCAGTCATGTCTGAAAGAATGTGGTTGGGAAAATGCAGGAACTTCGAAATTTTTTTCTAACAATAACCTTTAACCTTTTATAGCTGCATTAGGTCCTTCATTTCCAGGGACACTTACCTTAATTGCACGCACAGGGTAGAACTCCATCTGCAGCCAAAACGTGCTGCTCAAAATGCAACTGAGCCACAGGTCACGATTTGCAAGCTGCTCATGCTGACACCTCCTCCTACGTAAAGGAGCAGGTAGGTCTTGCAGGCATGGTGCATACTAAGTGGGTGTGAAGCAGGGAAAAATGAAACAACAGACAACTGGAGTACCTGCAGAAGGAATAAGGTAGTGAGTGTAAGCTCCCCATAGTGTTATTTTGTCAGAGTTTTTATGATTTTCTTGACCAGCGTCGACCTTTCTACCTTTTCTGAATCCATGAATATTAATTCTTTCTCTAAAAGATCCAAAACATTTTCTTTAGATTTCTTTCCTCTTCTTTCCTCTCCTCTCTCTTATCAGCCTAGTAAATGTTCAGAAAACATCATCAGTAAATTTATCAAATTCTTGTTCGGCAATAATTATATTCCTGGTAAATAACAAATTGGGCTTTTACAGTTGTGAAGGTACAGGTAGTCAGCTGGCCTAAACTGCTTTCACTGTACCTCAGCTTTTTGTCTGATAGCATCCAAGATCCTACTTAAAAACAGCAAGTAAAATGTTCTTTACCCATTTTTGCAATTATCAAAAAAGATCATTCATCTTAACTGTTTGACTATATTTAAAATACACGTTTCCAACTTTATAAAGTAATTTGAGTCTTTTTATAAAGAAAAATAACAGCAACAAACAAACCCAGAAATACATCTGACCTAAATGGTCTGAGATCTAAATTTAAATAAAAAAAAAAATTTAAGACCCCATGTTAACTCAATGAATTGCTAGTAGAACTCCAAAACTGAAGCATAGTTTTAAGTATGAAAACACCAGGATGTTGTTGTAAATTCATATAGCTCAAATAATTGTCCAGGACCCCATCCCTGCTCCCTCATAGTATTTTCATCAGCTGAATTAATTAATTGCAGAGCCTTATAAATTAAGACTGTCTTACAGCTGAAAGTATGTGTCCACACACAACAGCATGGACCTCACTGAGCCCCAGCAGACAGCTGGAAAGATGTAGCTGCTAGTTGAAGGCCCAAGGCCTGGTTTGTTAAGCTCTAAAATTCAGTCATCTCTTCTTGTCCTAATATGTTTGGCACTTTAAAAAACAGCGTTTTGTTTTGGTTTTTTTTTCCCAAATTTTCAGAAAACTTGGATATTTTGCTGGATTATGCTCGAAGACTGAATGCTGAGAAGGAAGTCAGGCTCTGACCTGCTGGAGTCTTCCCAGCACTTGGTGTCTGGCAGTGGGCTTAGAGCTTCCTTCAAGCACTTCATAGGGCAAGAGCCCTAAGTTCATCTTTTTTATTTTGGATAGAACAGATAGAAATTGAAATACAAAGACCTAATTAGAATGACCTCAAGAAAAAGAAAGGTTTGGTCACAAATGCAATGTTTGCTTCTGGTTGTTTGGTTGGCTGTTTTGTTTTGGTTTTGGTTTTGTTTTTTTGTTTGTATTTTTTTGTTTTTGTGTGAAAAGCATTTTGTGACTCTTCAGAGACAAATAATTTATTTGGGTTCCTTTTACTTCTCTTGCTCCCTATGACAGGGCAAAATATGCCCAGTATTTTGTACTTCCAATATAAAACCATCAGTTGATGGTTTTTTTTTCCTCACTTAGGTAATAATTAAAGGGGTGCTTATTTTGCCCTGTCAACAAGCAAAGAGGAAGGAAATTACCCCAGCAAAGTGAGGTGACATGTTACACGTCTGGGTTTTCTGCATTCTCTGTAGCTGGTGGAAGGAGGAGGCAGCACATCTGGGAGGTGACTTAAGTCCACCAAAAATCTGAGTCTGCATAGTGGAATGAGATAACATCCTCTGGGCAAAGATGGGCCACCCTGTTTTGTGCAGTGATACTGTCATATGAACTCAGTATACCTAGTCCCTTAAATATGCAAGAGCTCAACCATAAGCACCTGCACCAGGTCACAGCAGCAGGAGCTTATGGTTCGCATTATCAGAGGGTGAATGATAAGAAATACCATGATTTCGGGTGAAGTGAAGAGATGATTCATTTACGACAAGCTTTCTTTAGTGGTTTAGATTTCTCCATTCAGATCCAGTCTGTTTAAACACTGCTGGCTTTGCTCTCTGTAGGGTCACACCAAGATCAATGCCTTCAACTGGGCTAAGGTTCGAAAGCTGAGCTTCAAGAGGAAGCGTTTTCTGATCAAACTACGGCCTGATGTGAATGTAAGTTCTTGTCAGGAATTGAAGAAGTTGACAAAATTTTTGTGGTAAATTTCTACTCATAGATCAAATGTATGTTTTTATTGCTTCAGGGAGATTTTAATATTTTTAAATTACTTGCTTATGTTCACTGTTGGTACTGCACACATCAGCCTGGCATCTCAGGCGAGCAAGTTCTAGCAAAAGAAATGTAAACTGAATGTCACACAGTCATCTTCTGGCTGCAACTCTGGCATTGTGTCATCAGTTCTTCAGTTATAGCATCTAAATGAGCACCTCTCATTAATGTTAAGACCACTACTTTATCTCTGTCGTATTTGCCAGTGAAAAGAAGTTTGAGCAATATCTCTGATACTGCCAGGCAGATCAGTGATGCCTCAGAGAGGGATGGATAGGGCCTGCTAAACCTGAAAGCTAATGAGTGTGGAAAATGTTTGGGTTTTGCTGGGATTTTTTTTGTGGCATAGCACCTGCTTTGACCATGCATCTCTGTAACATATGTTGCTTGCCTGCTTACATTGCAAATGCTATCTCAATTTCCAGAGTTCATTCCAGGACACCCTGGAATTCCTTATGGCCAGTCGTGATTTTTGCAAGTCTTTCTGGAAGATCTGTGTGGAGCATCATGCCTTTTTCAGGCTCTTTGAGGAACCTAAACCAAAGCCTAAACCCGTTCTTTTTTCTAGAGGTTCATCATTTAGGTTCAGGTAAGACCTGCATTCTTCTTTCCACTTTTGTTGCCTCCTCATTTAAAATCACATCCATAATGTTCTAGGATTAAACCCTTAATTTTCAGCTCCCCTCTTTTATGTTGTGGTTTGTTCCTTTATATTTTCCATTGCATCTTCTCAGCCAGAACAGTGCAAAGAATGCTGTGGGGAAAAAGACTGCATTAATTTGGTAGTAGCTGTTGCAAAGTAGCTTTGTGGAGGTAAGATCTAAAGTATATAAGTTGTAGCTGGTTTCACATAAGAAAATCCACTTGTGTCATAAGCAGCACTAGCTAGCAAATTTTTGGCAGTCTTTGGATCCTCTGCTTCTAGGGATCTTTCTTGTGTGTCAGAGTAGAAATCTGTATTTTCACTGCATGTCCTTTTGGCAAACTCATCTCTGTACAGTTATAAGCAATGGCTTCTCTTTATGCTTGCAAATGATTTATGTGAGGTGACCCCCTATGTTAAGCCCAAGTCTACCTGCAATATTGTTAGAGCTGTAGAAAATGTTTTATTAGTTGGGTTATTGGTTTGTTTTTTTCTTACAGTGGCAGAAGCCTCATTGTAGCTACTGTATTGTGTATGTCAGGGGGAGAAATCCTTTTATTCATACAGTTTGTTTGCAAAGCTGATACAAGCTGAACAGCCAGAAACCCTCTTTGCTGAGATAAACTGTACACTCTGTTTGCCTTGCACAACAACATAGTAGCTATGACTATTCTATCTCTCTTCCCACTTTGTTTCTTGCCTGCAAAGTAAATTAATTAAGTTGAAAGGACCTATGTTAAGGTAAACAGATTATAATTTGTTAAGTTTCTACCTGAGTAAATAGAAGACTGTAAGTGCCTTCAGCTTACCTCCTGGTTTGGAGCATAGTTTTTGACTGCATCCTCCACTTACTGTGGTCTCTGGTACATATATTCAGTAATTTTTCCAGACCTTGTACTAATTCAGTTAGTTGAAAGTTTCTAACGAATGGGAAGGATTTTTTTCTCTGTTGAGCCACTCTCAAAGTGTGGATTTCCTTTACTGCTCTCAGTTCCCTTTGGAGATTATAGCTTTGCACAACAGGAAGTCCTGGGCTTTCTCACTACTTTTTCACAGCCTCTTACAGAAGGTTAGAAAGGGATTTCCAGCTTAAATCTCAGCAGAAAATGGATTTTTGCTTAGCTGATGTGTTTAACACGAGCAGTTGAGTCACAAAATGCATTTCAACAGTTTTCATCTTTGTTCCAGGGTTTACTGATAGCAGGTAAGGCTGGTTTTTGATCCCAAAGTATTCAAGGATAGTTTTCGTTCATGAGAGGAAGAGGTAACCCCTGCTTCACTTTCTACTGTGGTGGCTTCCCAATAATATAGTAGCCTATAAAGGGCACACATGAGAATTTAAGCAGTTCTGAAATGGCATCAAAACGTAGTTCCATAGCTAAAAAAAGAGGCAGGTAACGTACAAAATTATAAAAATCTGTGTGTGTCTGCCCAGATTCCCTTCTCTATGATTTTACATGGGTTTCTGCTGATAGTGACAAATATCTGGTTGCTGTGACTGCATATGCAGGCCACATACTTGTTTATGATGACCAGGTTGTATATTGTGTTAAGCATTTTAACTGTGATTTTCTTGCAGTGGTCGGACTCAGAAGCAAGTTCTTGACTATGTTAAAGAAGGAGGGCACAAAAAAGTGCAGTTTGAAAGGTGAGAGGAAATAAAGTAACTATCCCAATATGTTTTAATCAAAGAAAAGTCATGATTTTCAGTTACATTCTAAGATCTTGGCACTAGTCCAAGTAAACACTTCTTTCTTTCCTGTTTGACAATTAGCATTTGTGTGATATCCCCTTGGTCCTGATTGTTTTGTTGGAAGTTGACATAACATGTAGTTTCCTTAAAATCAATAGTCCTCAATCTGTTTTTCAGCAGTGAGTGTCCTACCATCACAGGGAACTTCCTTCCATATTGATTTGCACCCTCTTTGGTGGAGTATGGTTAATGTATGTGAACAGACATACTCACCTCAAAGTAGGTGCAGCCAGCCTCAATGGAAAAGGCCCCAGGGAAGACTGCCAGCTTGCTAGGGCCAGTTGAACCCATGTTGCTCACAGTGAGCTGAAAGTAATGACCAAAATGCCACAAGGAGCATGACAACTTTTCATTGCTTATGACTCATGTTCTGGTGATAGAGCATTTTTGCTTCAGTGCCTCTCTGTTTTCTTACATAAAATATGTTTGTGACACGTAGTATGTTTAAATTTTATAGAAAGAAGGAATGTTAATGTGTTTTGGAGCTAACTTTTATGAAAGCTGCTATTCAAAGATTTTGTTTTAAAGGAGACATGTCTCTTGATTCCTATTTGTAGAAAAAAAAATGAAATGTCTTCTAACTGTGATTTTTCCTTTTATCTCCAGGAAACACAGCAAGATTCATTCCATCAGGAGTCTGACTGCACAGCCTTCAGAACAGCATACAGAGGTGCCAAAACAAGTCAGTGATGTTGATGAAATCTTAGATCATGCCTTTTAAACATTTCTCATTAGATTACCCTCCACTGATTGCTGCTTTGAAGCTCTAGGCACATAGTTTTCTGCTCCCTTTCCTTTTGACTAAGAGCTGAGGGAGCCCAGTGTGTCCTAAGTTTTAGGTTCTGCAAGTGGAGCAGGTTCAATAGTGTTGCTTCCAGACAACCAGACAGATATGAATTTGGAGCTTGTCTGAGCTGTACTAATGACTATCTGAAAAACTGCAATCCACAGGGTTACTCCTAGGTTGTAGCTTGTTATTGCATCTGAGAAAAATGGAATTCTTTTCCTTCACTGGGGATTCTTGTTTGCCCATGACAATGTGTTTTGTTTTATTAACCAGGGAGGCAAAAGAATTATTTCCTCAGAAAAATTACAGCTTTGGACTTTTAAGCCAGTATCTCTGGTAGATACCTAAGGTATTTGCCTTATGTTAATATCTGCTAGGAGTCTACAAATCCAGTAGGTCAGTAGTGGTGAGGCTGCAGCAGCTGCATGTTCCCAGGTGCAACTACTAGTAAGGCTGAGCGTGTGTTCCCTATAGGCACCCTCACAAATAGACATATTCAATATATGTACACATACACACACAGCCAGCCATACACCTAAACCCAGCCAGGAAACAGTGCCCGTGGCCTCACCCTCTTCCACCCTTTGGCTGATGAGGGTGAAAATGCTTTAGTGGGAAATGTGCATATGTACATATGATATGGGTCCCTCCTGCAACTGATCTTAGACACTCGGCCTCTCCGGTAGCAAGCCCCTGGATCCTCAAGTCTCCCAGTGGCTGGTACCTGGATATAGAACCCCCTAAGGCTCACAGCCTCACATCAATTGCTGGTACTCAGATCTACAGACACACACAGGCTATGGGTTCCTCCAGTAATTCATCTTAGATACAAAGTCTTTCCAGCAGCCAATACTTGGATGCTCTGATTCCCAGTTCCCTCACACACAGAGGCACACATGCAAAGGTGTCTCTCCAAGAGCAGGTACACTTAGGACATTGCCAGTAATTGACCCCCAAGACCTGCTGTCTTCCTAGTGCCTTTCCTGGCTGAGGGCTGCTCCAGTAGTTGGCTCCCAACTCTGTTACCCTACTCACCAACTAGTCCTGTTTAATGTTTACTAGCAATTACACACTGACCTGCCCACCCAGGCAACATGCACATGCTCTGGTGTCTGTTTGCTGGCATCCCAGACCATGGGCTGATGGCTCTCCTGGGACAGCCCCCAGAGGAGCTGGGTCAGGGAGCTCCATTTTCCTGGCTGTGTTATTGTGTTCTTCCCCCTGCCAGCGTTTCTCTATGCTCATCTCTGTTTGTGGAGGTGAACCTTTAATCACATGACAGGTAGAACTTAAATGGCAGGAGCAAGCTACTATTTAAGAAGGTTACCCAAACCTTCACCTTCCTCATATTGCTTACTTTTGATGTTCAGAGGCTCTCACACTTCTGCAAATCTAAGAACTCAGAGAATTCTGTTATAAATGCAGCTCATTTCAAGTACCTTTTAGCATTCTAATAGAGCTAAGACAAGCTCAGGTAGATGGAGCCTGTCTGCTGGGCAGATTTGACATGTGTGTGGAGAAAAGCCAGCCCATGAAGTAGTGGTAGGTACAATCCAGGGATTGAACGTGGCATGCTCAAAAGCCCACACGTGGCCTTTTTAGTGTATCTAAGCAGGCTGTGCAGAATTTGTCTTATGTGTTTATCTTTTCCTCCACCTTCCTAGAGGTAGTGCAAACAAGCTGATGTTCTTAAGAGTGATGATCACTGCCTTAGGGCATGGAAACACCTCCAATACTTCTTTTTAAATATGACCACATTCTGTCCACCTTCTTTTCTTTTACTTAGCTTATGTATTTTTCAAGACCAGAGACCTCTTTTTTTTTAATTCTAATTGATTTTGAAGCTGAGGTTACCTCTTCTGCTTTCAAGAGACTCCTATGTTGCTGCAGATGCAGTGCAAAATTCTGGTGCGTAATTACACGTAGCCTTTTCCCTCTGGCTCCCTTCCCTTCCAAACCTCCCCCTCCCACCCCTCCCTCCCCCTTTGTCTCCCCCTTGCCTTCCCTCTTTTATCTTTCCAGAGCTCTAGCTTTGCCCATGGAGACGACAATGATGCTGGAGCGGTGCAGAGCAGCCGGCAAGGAAAGGAACTGAAAGCTTCAACAGAAGACACTGGACAGCACAAGAGCCCTTCCTTGAAGAAGAGCCCAAAGGAAGTCAGAAAGGTGGATGGAGCAGTGGTGTCAGCAGTGGAGGAAGAAGAGGAGGCTGCTAAGGACAGGATGCAGCAGAACAGACCTCAATCACAGCAACCAAGCACAGGTCCAGCTTCCAGGGCTGCTCATGGCAGCAGCACCTCCATTCCTTTCATTGACTGCAGTGATGTAGATAGCGAGTATGATCTCCTCAGAGGACAAATAACCCGGTCATATTCCCAAACAAATGACAACTATGAGGGTGATTTGACCAGTGGTGCCTGTATTCACTACAGAGACGAAAATCGCAATAGAACTAGATATAGGGATTCCTCAGCCTCTATCAAGTCTTCCCAGTATCTCTCCGAAGAGTACCTTGATGATAACCCAGCTTATCTCTCCTTCTACACTGGGGGAAGCCCCAGGATGCCAAGGCACAGCTCGCTGGTTGATGAAATGTTTAGAGGGCCAGGGAGCCGTAGTCCTCTGGCCACTCCGTTGCCTCCCAGTAGCAAAGGGTCGAGCCCTAGCATGAGCCTGAGCAGAACTGGCTCTCAGGGGTATGTCTCAGAAAATGGGCATGACTGCAGGGGGAGGACTGGGGAGGAGGAGAGCCATGCCAGTAGCTGCCGTGGGTATTGCAGATATTCTCCAGGTTCTCAACGGGCTCACGCACAAAAAATCTGCAATAAATCAGGTACAGATCCGTTTATCCTAAGCCAGATCTCCTCAAGCCCTGGGCAGGAGTATAGATCAGAGAGATATTGTAAAGGAGGTGTGGTGGCTAAGATGTCTTCTCCAGAAGGCAAAATGATGGCCAACGGTATGCCCGCGGGGACGCAGCCCAAGCAGAGCCCGGTCGTGCAGTCGCTGCATGCCAGTGGTGTGATGGGTCACATGGCTGCAGTGCAGATGATGGAGGGCTCCACCAGCAGTGGGACAGAGTCTAGTGATTCTGACTCAGAAGTCATTAACCCTTTCACTCACCCCTTGGTGTTTGGAAACCCCATTGTGTTGAGCTCCTCTCCTGTGGCTAGAAATAAGTACTCCTTCGGAAGCCTGCAGCTTGATGAGGAGGTGGAGGAGGAGGTGTCCGTTGGCCTCAGTGATGAAGATGGTGTGCAGGTCTACAGCTGTTAGGGACGGGGGCGTATGAGTGGAGAATGTGGCTGCTCGTTAGAGTGGGTGCATCTTCTGCTGCTTGTGAAGAGTGGCTGGTGATAATTTCAGTGCAGGAGCAATTTCAAATGTGATTCTTGTTCTGACCAGCCAGAGGGAAGGGATGCTAGAAATACAGTAATAAGGGTAAGTCTCAGTGAAGCTTAATAGTCACACATCTCCTCTGAAAGGCAGGAGGAGAGGAAAATTATTACTGATTTAGGTACTTTTGTAAGACTTTATAAACTCACCTTTTCTTTGTATGAAGTCATATTTTAGGTACGTGTCGTAGCTGCTTTGACACTTGACTAGTTATTATGACAAAACAAACAAAAATGAAACAAAGCAGGTACCTTGTGCTCTTTTGTATGTCTATTACAATTTTTTTTTTCTCTCCCATGAAAGGAGAGCAACTTGTGAGTGCCTCAACAGAATTAGAAAAAACAGCCAAATGCAGGCAGCTTAACATTCAAGAGCAAGACTTGCTGAAATCTTGAAATATGCTGGAAAATCTTTTTGTAGGAAGAATGTATTCAGTCTACTCATCTTCCTAACCCATTGTGTGATCTTAACTGATGAACTGAGGATACAGATTAGGCACGCATACAGGAACAATGCCAGTATTGGCTGGTTTTTTCAGTGGGTCCAACAGGCTGATTTTTGTGATGGAGATTTTGAAACTCCAAATGCTTCCTTAGGCAACAAAGAGAACAAGTTGAAATATATCATTCAAGTGAAAAAACCCTTAGATTGAAACAGTTCTAATAAAGAGTAGTAGGAGTATTACTTGCAAGGCAATCCTTTCTATCCTTTATCAGTGTAGTATAAAGATTAATTGCAAGAGATCTTTTTTTCTCCTTATTCTTTCACTGGAATTATTATGGAGACATCAAAGTTCTATTGTGGGTGATTTTTAGTGGAGGGTTCAGAGATGGTGGCTATTTAATTTTATTTTTGGCTTTGATCATGAAAAAACTTCATCTGTACAGAATCCAATTAGTCTGTTATAGGCTAATTTTTTTTTAATAGTGCCACCTTGTACGTTTTTCATCCTCTGACACAGAGAATGATGGGACTAACTGGGGCCCAGGCTGATTGTCTTCTGTACTTTATGTAGAGTAGTGAGATTTTGGCACATGTGAGAAGGACCGAGAGTGTGATTCTTTGTAAACTTCCTTTTCACAGGCTAAAAGTATTGAGAATTAAGGCTGTATCCTAATAAAATCTAATTCTAGTTTCTCTGAGTTAATTAAAAAGATCTAGATGAAAGGCGTCCTGTACGGAAAGTCTCCTGCAGTTATTAGAGATGAGAGACAAGATGTGCTCTTTAACACTGGCCTTAATTTTAAGTTTTATATATTTTTCTTGTGGGGGAAGGGAACTAAATTTGAGAATTTTAAGTGATGAACAGCAGCACTGACTGAACTGCAGGTCACTTGTGGTCATCTGCATCATGCAGTACGTGCATGCAGCAATGATGAACCACCCACAGAAGTACTGATAAACAAGTTATGGGGCTTTGTAAATCTAGACAGTGTAAAATGTTTTAGATTGTTTTTACAAAAGATGGTAAAATAAGAAGTCTTTTAAATTTTTTTAATGCCTTGGTCTATGCACACTTTAACAGAGTTTAAACTGAGTGAAGGATATTTAAAAAGATATCTACAGTAGTTAGGGATGTCTTGTTATATACTTCACTTTTTTTTCAGTAAAATTTATCTTTGTGTAAATATACATTTTAACCTGCTCATCTCCTTCAGTATGTTGGTTTTCTTAAAGATTAGATGCCTAGTTTTTGAACAGGAATAATTTAAAGCTTCTTTCTAGACAGTGGTGTTCTGGTGACAAGGAATGCTCTTGTTTGTTCCTTTAGTTTAAAGCATGAATCTAGAAACACCAAGATTGATAATTAGGGAAAAGCTGCTTGTATATTATTCTAAAAGAAGGTGGTTTGTTTTTTTGATTTAGAATAGATGTGAAATAATTGCCTTGAACTTTTCAATACTTAAGATGAAATGTCAGTAGTTGAAGCCTATGTCAGCAGATAACGTGAGCATGGGGAGTGGGTGCATGAGTCTCCTTTTGGACTTTTCTATAACCAGTAGTTATACAGTAAGGTAATAGCAATCTGGAGAGATGAGTAATTGCTTTGTTAGCCAGTAAAATTAGAGTTCAAGTAATGGATTTTCAACAGAAGGCTTTGCAGTCATTTCCACCACTTAAGAAAGATGAATAGATATATTGTGTGGATTAAAGTGAATATAAGGCTTTATAAGTGGTGTTTACTGTTTTGCATCCTTTCAGATACTGTTTTCAGGCCTGATTTCTTCTCTCATATGCCTACAAAGATAATGGATTTATAATTTTATAGGAACAGACCTGCTGATAGCTGGAGTTAGCCTAGTTGCTAATAAAGTATCTCAATAGTTTTTCTTTTCCCATTTGAATATTACCCTCAAAACTGAAATATGAGGGTTTTTCTCTGACTGCTTTCTGTCATCTGGCATTTTTTCAGCTTTAAATGTTTAAGTGGTTGTCATTTTAACATGTGGAATTCTTCCAGTTTGAAGAAATGAAGTTTGTAAATTGCATAGGAAATAATTTCTTTTAGGATTAATCATTTTTACTGCATTCCTATGCCACTGAAGTTTTCTTTAATATCAGTAGACAAGCATTTAATTAAAAACAGTCTGTGGGCCAAATTCCTCCACCAGACATGTGGTTCATATCTGAGTTATTGCCAAGAATGATAAGTGAGAGAGAGTTATAAATTGACATTTTCACACAGGAACAGGTCCCATAGAATTCATTGGGAGATTTTCTGGGGGACAAGTACAGAAAGACGTTTCAGGAAAGAGCAGAAACCGCTGGGGCAAGATTGTGGATGAGATGGGATGGGAGAATTCTTTTTCTGGTTCACAAAGTGCACGTAGGAAGAGGAGCCTGTCACTTCAGGTTAGCTGTTGCAAGCGGTGATTAAGCTGCACACTCTGGTCAACAGCAGTGGCCTAAGCATACCTGTGTCTCAAGTCTAACAGAGGTAGTTACAGGCTAGGTGAAAGATTTGATTCTCCCACCAATACTAGTAGATTTTGGAGCATGGCTGATGGTAATTTTGATTCACCATTCCAAATTTTTTATTTTCGATAATTAACTTCTAAAACCCGTACTCATCAAGTGCCCAGATAGCCTTAGGCAGTTGCTACAAATGAGGGACCTGAATCCCAGCAAGACTGAGCAGCTACATCTGCTCTAATGAGTAGTCCTACGCCACTCACATCCTATCTTTCCATAGGATGTGGAGGAAGCCTTCTGCTGGGCTGTCCAGGTGGCTTATCACTATGCTGAACTAACTCTGTCCATGTAGTTGGATGGATTTAGAGACTCGTTGCAAAAGTAGTTCAGGGGTTTGTCCCAAAATAATGTGTAGATGTAGTAAGTCTATGGATAAAAGACATTCTGATTCTTTCTTTACTGTTCCAAGTACTTGACCATGTTTAGTCATCTTCTGCAACGACAGCAGAAAACTCATGTCAGAAAATTTTAAGTTTTCTCCAGCTCAGCAGCAGCTGAAACTTGCTATGTCCTGTTGGGATCTTCTCCCAGAGGTTTTTTTTTTTCATATCAGCCTTTCCTAGAATCCAGTTTTCCTCAGTGACCTGGTATATAAAATTTGGGAAGAAATTTGGTTAGGTGAAGGAAATGTGGATAGTGGCAAGTTGGTGTATGAGCCAGGACCTATGTACAATGCTGCAGGTATGGAGTTTTGAGTAATGGGTATCTGAATGGCCTAGACTGCACTGTTTTTGGTTTAAGTCCTTAAACCATGCCAAGCAAACATATTCCTTGTGCGTGACAGAGAGGCATGTTGTACTTGATGCTGCCATGGTTTCAGATCACCCGTAGGCCTACCTAACAGGCACTATCCCATCAACCACTGTAGTGCCCATTAAATACAAATTCCATCAA